AGTTAAAGAGTTATACAAGTTGTTTAAAAACAATTTGTGTCTTGAGAATTTGAAAGTGAATAAAAGTTTGTATGGTAAGTACTGGAGAGAGTTGATTTTTACCATGTCAGTGGGAACGAACAAGTTGTGAATACATCCGATCTTATTTGGAGATATTTGAGATAACAAACCCGAAATAAGTTTTACCAGTTTTTCATGCAGATAGAAAGAAGGAAAATTACACTTTAATAATCCCAACTATTGGCGATTTACCTAGAATAATCCCAACTAGGGATTATTTTCTAACAGTACCAACTTTGCCTCTTATTTTCTTCTAGTAAACCCAACCGGTGAACTATGGGTCAACAACCTGTTATAACAAGTCATATGCCACGTGTCAACACACGATTGGTCCAAAATAAAAAAAAAATAGAACATTAAAAACAAAAATAAGTATTAAAAAAATTAGAAAAAAAACTAAAAAAAAAATCAGAAATTAAAAATATGAAATTAAAAAAAAACAAAAAAAACCAAAAAAAAACCAGACACTTAGAAAAATTTCAAAAAATTAATAAAAAATAAAAAAATTAATAAAAAAAATCACAAAATTAGAAAAAAAAAAATCAAAAAATTTAAAGAAATAAAACAAAACCCAAAACCCACCAGCCACCCTCCCACCACCCCGTAACCCTAGCCAACCACCCCCCCTCCCCTTTCCCCGTCGGCGGCTAACCCCCTAAACATCCCAAAATAGCCGGCCGGTCGACACCCACCCTGCTCGGAAACTATTCGGTCGGCCCAAAATCACCCCCTCACTATTTCCCGACCCCCATAACCACCATCTCCTCTTCCCCGACCCTCAAAACAACCCCACCTCCTTTCCCCCACCGTCAAAATTGGCCATTTTCGGCGGTAGGGGAAAGGAGCAGGGGCTGTTTTGATGGCCGGGGAAGTTGGAGGGGGTGGTTTTGGGGGTCGGGGAATAGCGAGGGGTAGTTTCGGAGGGTGGTTTTGGGTCGACCGAGTGTTTTTCGAGATAGATGGGTGTCGGTTGGCCATTTTGGCATGTTTTAGGGGTTGGCCGCTGGCGGGGAAATGGGAGGGAGGGTGGCTGGCTAGGGTTACGAGGTGGTGGGAAGGTGGCTGGGAGGGTTTTGGGATTTTTCTTTATTTTCATTAATTTTTTTTTTCTAATTTTCTGATTTTTTTAAATGAATTTTCTAATTGCATTTTTATTTTCTGATTTTTTTTTGTTTTTTTAAATTTTTTTCCCCTATTTTCTATATTTTTTTTCTATTTTCTAATATTTTTTTATTAATTTTTTTTTCAATTTTCTAATTTTATTTTTTATTTTCTGATTTTTAAAATTTTCTGATTTAATTTTCTAATTTTTTAAATTCTAAAATAATCACGTGTTGACACGTGGCATTTATAGAAAAAATTTTAAAAAAAAATTACCTTTTCAATAGGTTATCGGTCATTGAGACCGCTGGAAGAAAATAAGAGGCAGAGTTGGTACTGTTAGAAAATAATCTTTAGTTGGGATTATTCAAGGTAAATCGCCAATAATTGGGATTATTAAAGTGTATTTTTCCTAGAAAGAAAAGATAGTGAGGTTTAATTAAGTGGAAATGAAAAGATTACTTGGTTTCGAGAAGTACTCCAAGTTGTAAGATCTCTCGGTATTCAAGGAAATGATATTGCTTTAAACTTAAGGGAATGAGTTGAAGGATGGTAAACTATGAGTTTAAGGGTGGTTTTCAAGACATAAAGTCTTTGGGAGTTTGATTGAATTGAATTATAAATAATCAATTCATATATTAGCTAAAAAAAGGTGAGATCAAAAATAAAGATAAAGAATCAAATCAAGAAAGAAGGTATTAACGAAAGTTCAACAAAATGGCTAAGAGCTTTAAAGGAATATTTTGGAAATGATAAAAAAATTTGAAAGCAGCTTGAGTAACTCTTGAAACTTAAGGAAATTTGAATTATGAAGACGTTGTATACTTGAAAGTGTCGAGAATATTAAACTATGGATGTAAAAATGTCATAAAAGAGAAAGAGTTTATGACAATATTTATGAATTTGATTGAGATGTGTTGAAATAACTTGAGTAAGGATTGTATATGAGGTGATTGAAGTTGAGATTATTTAAAGGTCACGGTTTATTCAAGGGATGCTAGAAGAAAGATCATGGATTTAATTGGAGGAAAGATGTAAGCATGGGAAATATAAGCAAGGATATAAAGGTTAAGTGAAGTTGGAGGTATAATATGGACATATTTGCGTGTAGAGAAAGGTTTAATATTGCATTGCGTAAAGGGGGTTGAAAGATACTATTGAAGTCATTGAAAGAAGCTTACATCACCCTGGAGAGCGCATGTAACTGTTAAAGAAAGGAATGGAAGTGTCTGTAAAGTGCCTATGGGGGATTGATCAATGTGACAAAGAAGTATAATTATCCTTTGCTTTAAAGCGATGATTTGTTTGATCAAATGAAAGGAGAAAATATAATTTTGAGATTTGACTTGAGGATAGAACTACTAAGTAAAAATATTCGAAAGAAAATATTTAGAATTTGGCGTTTATGACAAGGTTTGGACGATTCGAGTTTTCATTTTTGCCTTTTGGGATAATGAATCACCTAAAATTTCCTTGGACTTATGGAATTCAGTATTTTCATTGAAGGTATTTTGGTGAATTCTAAGAATGGGAAGGAAAGGACGATGTGAACATATGTAATAAAACGTGTTGTTGCTTAGAGAGAGGCAAATGCACGCAAGTTTTTCCCGAGTGTGAGTTGTGATTGAGAAAGGACCATTTTGGAAAACCTTGCGATAAGAGGAAAAGTTGATGTAACAGGGATAGAAGCGGTGAATTATGGACTCCGTGATTAAACAATTGTAGTTGAGGTTTAGTTGGACAACGGTGTAGAATTTGATAGATTCGAAAGGATTATTAACAAGTGAATGCCCTGGTGAAGAGTAATTGGAAGTTCATGGAAAGTAATAAGTGTGAAATAACTTTGTATAAATTAATGATTATTTGCGAATGAATTTTAAAGTTTAAAGTTTGAGATAGACTATCACACATAAGGATTTAAAAATGTAACAAGAAATTATTGGATTTGATAAAGGACCGTGGAAGAGACATTCAATGTCATTGAAAGGGAAACAATGTATTGGGCAAATGCGTTGCTAATAATGTTAAAGTTAAGGGGGAATAAGGACATTAATCTCCTCGAAAGTGTTGGAAAAGGAAAGCAAAAAAAAATGTTGGGGTAACGACAGCATGAGACCAACAATATTCGAGGAAATGAAAAAAAAAATCAAGTAGAGAATGTGAATTTGATCGAATTTGTAAGAGGATATGTCACTTTAATATTCATGGAGATAAAAGCTTGAGTATACTTTGTAAGAGTAAGAGGTTTAAAGGAAATATAACGGAAGGAAATGTAATACAACCAGCAGGAAAGGACAATCTGCAAAAATGATTTGGTAAAGGTGTATTGAGGGTTTAGAGTGATTAATTTATTCGGATTGTAGTGGATAGATTGTCTAAGTCCACAATGTTTAAAACCCGATGAAGGAGACTTCGAAAATGGAGCAACTTGCGAAGGCTTACATCAAATTCGTTGTGAGATTACATGGAGTTCCTGAAAATATCATGTCAGATAAAAATTCCTAGTTTCTTTCAAAATCCTAGAAGGAGGCATACAGGAGAACTTTGGTAATACATTTGAGACAATTACAACCTCCACCCATTGGTATAATAGCGAAATAATATTTGACAGGGGAATTTATGCAGAAAACAAGCGTATTCAATTTCAGAAAAGGATGTAACAAAGTCACCATACAAGCCAGCATTGGTGTGGCAACATTTTGAGGTTGGAATAAAAGAACCATGAAATTTCACTATGTTGAGGAACATTAGTGACCGAAGCAAGAAAAATATACATGAATGGATTTGATCTGAGTAGTGCAAGTTAAACAACGGACAGGACACAAGTGTTATTGAAAGTGTAACCCATAAGACAAAAGATGAATTTTGGTAAGAAAGAAAATTTGAGCCAAAGTATATAGAAATATATATGAATTTGCATAGAATTGGTAAAGAGGCAAATAACTTAGCATATTATCGGACCTTGGTAAAGTATAAGACAATTCTCATAAGTCATTGTGAAAGAACATTAACTAAAGGTATGAGTTGCAAAGATATCTATTGAGTTCAGCCAATTTGATCATGAAAAAGCTGGACAAATCAAAGTTTCGAATATCAAAGTGCTTCATACTTTTACTAGAGGATGGGTGAAAGATAGTATAGATGGAAATTGATTATTTTTGGTATAATGAGTAAGGAATTAATAAGAATAATTTTTGTTCGCAACAAAGAATGCATACAGAGAAGTGTTATGACCTTACCAAAGATGGAATGAGAAAAGATCAACATGATTCTAAAGTTGAGTTAAGTGGAGTTACGGGGGCGTAACTCGTTTTCTTTATGGGGGGTAGAGTGCGATAGAATTACGCGCTTTTTCCTTAATTTTGGCATTTTAAAGTGCTTTTTCGTCAGTTTTACACCGATTAAGTTGATAAGTTTGATTATTTTACACACTAAGATGTGTAAGTTTATTACCAAAGTTGATTCTTACACTAATGTTAGTGTGAGTTTGTTAGATAGTCTAATAATTTACACATTATTTTGTGTAAGTTTGTTAGTAAAGTTGTTATCTTACACATTATTTTGTGTAAGAAGGTCAGCAAGTTGGTTACTTTACACACTAGTTTGTGTGTGAATGAATAGATGAGGTAGAAAGGAAGTATCACAAAAGTACAACTAAAAATATTAAGGAAATTTTCAGATTTTACAAAAGCTTTTTATTGTTTTCGTACCTAAGTTTCGGGGACGAAACTTATTTTAAGGGGGGTAGACTGTAATACCCCGTATTTGTAATGTATTTTATAAATTATTTATTTAATTATAAAATATATTTTGGGTCAAACTATTTTAATTATTGAATTATAAATAAAACAAGTATTTATATTTGAGTCAATAAGTATTCAATCCAAACGTAGTCCATCTTTATTGAACCCAATCATCTTATTTTTACTTTTGGGCCACCTACTTCATCATTTAAGTCCATTATTTTTATGAAGCCCAAACCTACCATAACCTACTCTACACTATAAATACTCTACTTATCCCCAAAATTTTACCACCCAAAAAGGTCAAATGGTCAAGGTAAGCTATTTTCTTTTTATTTTTATTCTTTCTTTCTTCTTTTCCTTTATCCTTTTCTTATTCTTTCTTTTTATTCTTGCATTTACGTGGGTTTTGGGTGACATAAACCCACCCAAATTTCAGCCTTGTCGCTGCCACTGTTGCCTGCCAACCCACCGCCGGTCTGCCACGCTGTCGCCGCCGGCCAGCAGCCACCCAGCTGGCCGGCCACCACCCACAGTGGTTCTTCCCTTCTCTCACCTCTTTTATTTTGTTTTAATAATTATTCCTATAATATATACTTTGGGGTTTTGATTTTAAATTGTTTAAACATGATTAGTATGTTCTACAATTGTGTTTTGATGATTAAAGGTTGTAAATTTTAGATTATAAAGTGTTTAATTTTTAGATTTTATGAAGTATTAAAAGTTAGGGTTTTAATTATTAAAGTGTTGATTTTTAGGGTTCTAACTTACAATTGATTTGGGGGTTTTATATACCCATTGATTGTAAGTGGTAATAAAGCTTAAAGATTGTATCTTTATGGAGTTTTAATTAAATTTTAATGAGTTTTTGTTAATAGAATAATGCTGGAATTTTTATTTACATACTACTTTTGTGTATTAATTAAAGGGAGTTGATTACCCATAAGTAGAGAATATTTTAAGTGGTTTTAATATAATTTTCAGATTTTTTTTAAAGGGTTTAAGCCTTAAAAAGTATGCTGGAATTTTTATATGAACACTATAATTGAGTTTTCACTTTGTGGTTTTAATTACCCTCTTAAAGAGATAGTTTTAAAAGTTTTAAACCAAAATTTCAGCTTGTTAGTGAGGTTTAAAATGTTTAAAAGTTGCTGGAAATTTGTGTATACTAAGGTAATTAATATAGTATTATTGTCCCTTTATGTAGGAGGCTTGGTTCGAGAATTGTTGTAGAGTACTCGGTTATTTTAAGAGCTTATTTGAGGTACGTTCGAGTACTTAGCATATTTTGGTGTTGTAGAATCATGCTAGGTTTGATTTCAATTAATTACAAGTAGTATCATGCTAAGGTTTATGTATGGAATTGTGAATTTATGATGTTTGTGGTTGAATTGGGAAGCATGAATTATTTGTGATGGTTATAGATTGGAAGATTATATTTTGAGCATGTTGTGTTTGAACCACATTTTTATTTATGGCATGTTAGAAGGCATGATTAATTAAACTACATGTTTAATTATGTTTGGAATATTGAAAAGGAATTTTATTATGGCTCAAATAATTTTTATTGATGCTTTAAGCATGAGGAAGGAGCTATATAAGTGTCTATGTACACAAGGAATAAATTGTATGTTGGTGCCTTTGTGCACTTAAGGTGTTTTTAACACCGAGGGATAGGATTTTTGGCGCATTATGCGTTTAAGGTGTCTTTGACACCGAGGTAGAATTAAAAAGGGTTCAACAATAAATAATATGTGGTCACTATTTATTCAAGAATTAAATTGGTATGTTTGTTTGATTGAATAATTATTGTTGATTGACTTATTATGCTTTGAGAGTCATCACCAAGTCTAATAATATGTAAATAACGTAAAGTGAAAGAGATTACGCACCAAAACTCTTGGAACGTATATACCTTGAGTATGAACAATGGGGGGGAGTTATGGGGTTTTATATTTAACCATAACTTCCAATGGAGTACAAGACGCTGTATATTTCTTTTTTTATTATTTATTATTATGCGCAGGAATTCCGCCACCTTTGTGTGGTTTTGTCGCTGGCACGGTTAGCTCCCGTGCCAGTTAACCTCAAATTTATTTGGGGGAGGTTAATAGGTGGAAACCCGTTCGATGCGTAATCAATGCAAAATGAATTAATTAGTGTCTAGTCATTGTGTCTTGTTGATTGGTGTGTATGCTTGTGAACAGGTGCAATGAGGTAAGTGTGTGTTGATAGGTGAAAACATGTTAGTGTGGCTAATTTACGCTTATGTACTCAGCTTTGCTGATTGTGTGTGTGTTTGTGTATTTGGCCATGTCTTTATCTTGGCCCTATGATGACCCATTTCTAATGAAGAGTAGTGGAAACAAGTAGAGATAAACTTTTCAGGTATTGAAACATGATCATGATGGGGCATGAGAGAAGAGTGAATCTTACTAGTTTTCATTAGGTTACAAGGTGTTTTATGCTTTATTTATTTATGACTTATTTTATGTGGACTAACACAAAGGTTTGGTTTTGGAACGGTTTTTGAATAAGGGCCTTTAATGGTTCCAAGTTGTAGTTTGATTTTATTTGACTTTGTTTGTTTGGTTTTAAACTTTATTTTCGTTTGGTTGACTTTTGAGTTGACTTGCTTAATCGGTTTTTAATTTTGAGTCTTCCGCTGTGTATCTTTGATAATTGCCTTAGCCGTTTTCACGGTGGCGGTAATGTCTTAGTTATTCCTAAATTGTGTTTTTAAAAGAGTGGAATGGGTATTTAAAAGAAAGGAATTTCTAGGGTGTTACAGAGGGATATGGTTGAGTGAGGGAGATGCGAGGCAGCGTGGGCCGAGTGAGGGAAATGCGGTTGTCGGGGTTGAGATGCGGCGATTCCGGTTGCGAGGGAGATACGGAAGAGGTGTATGTTGGGGTTTCAAGGTGTAGGCTGGGTTTCAGGGCAGCAAGGAGTGTTAGGGGGCGGGGTAGGAGGGTTGCAACAAGAGGTGAGGGGCATTTCAGGTGGCAAGGTGTTTTGGGGCGGTGGACCAGTGGTTATGGTGGGCATGGAAGGGGGATGGGGAGGTAGGAGGAGAGTGAATAATAATAATTTAAAAATCCATTTTAACCTGTTTAACAGGTTTTAGGTCAAATGGATCTGTTGGAGAAGGTGGGTTATAAAGATTGGATTTTTAATTTTTTATGGAACAAAATGAAGGTTGGATTTTTAGGAGGAAAAAAGTGCAAAGGTTGGACTTTTCTTTTCCATTTTTCCAAAAAAAAGTAAGATATTACTCCATAATATTTTTATTAAAAAAAAGTAAAATATAATTATTTCATACAAAAAAAAAATCATGTATTAATGATAGTTAATTTAACGGTAACTTTAATTAAGAAAGTTAAAATGACGGTTAATTTAAATGGTGAAAGTCCGTCTTAATCAAGAATTTGTGTTTATATCATCGTGACTAGTTAATTAACATCTTTTTTATAATTTTATTTTTTTAATTATTATGTACTCATGATTAAACTAATTATGTTACAGAGTATACTCTATTTCTACTGTTACATAACTGTACTCTATCGTGGAATTAGTGGGTTCAGTAAAGGGGAACTCTTTTATGCTTCTCAAGAGAACCAAGTGATAAGTTATCAAAAAGCATACAGTACAAAAAAAAAAGAACAATATTTTTATTTTTTATGTTCAAATCACCAAATGTCAACTCTTTGCAATTCAAATTAAATATATACTTCGTAATAAATAAAACTAAACGAGAGGAAGTGGTCACAATTCTCACAATAACTTGCCGGCATATATAAGTGATAAGATTGACTATTAATTAAAAATTAAGAGCATAAAATTGTATCCATCTCAAGTCTTAACACAAGATTAATTAAAAACATCATTCAACTTAATTAATATTAATTCAATTTGAGGCAACCCACTCATAGTTGTATGTTCTTAGTTGTCCATGCCGCCTTCATCAAGTTAATATTTCTACATGCTATTAATATATAGTAATTGGCTAATATATATATATATATATAATATATATATATATATATATATATATATATATATATATATATATATATATATATATATATAGATACATAATTTACAAACTAACGTCTAAAATTTCATTAATTTGAAGAGAAGAAAAAAGAATGGAGGAAAATAAGTCTAAGAAAGAGGTGATGTTACAAGAAAGGTATTGTTATGGAGAAGATAGAGAGTTTACAATTCACAAGACTTCAATGTTTAGCCAAGGAGATGGGTTCATAATGTATGATTCGAAAGGCGATATCATTTTTCGAGTTCACTCGTATGGTCCTATTAAGCATCCCCTTCTTCTCATGGATCATTTTGGGAAGCCCCTCTTCACCCTTCTACCTAAGGTAATTTAAGCAAAATTTAAGCCCTTTTTGTCAATATTTATTTTAATTACACTTACACTTTAAATCTTAATCTCAATATATCATCGAGGGTTATGAAAACATGTCATAACTTTTACATAAGTTAGAAGAAGCTTATATCAATTTTGACAACTCTACGACTTTGTGTAAAATGCTTTAAAATTTGTCACTTGGTATAATCTTGAAGAGTTTGAATTTTAATTATTTGCTCCTCAAGCTGAGTTTTTATACTAATGTTTAATTTAAGGTGACTAATTTATACATCTTCAAGCATAATAGTTTTTAGGGTTTTAATCTATCTGAAAATTCATACATATTATATTAGCTTAGAAGTGCTTGTAATTTTCAAATTTAAAGAAGCGTACTTGAAGGATACTTAGTAGCTAATTAGCTATACATAAATTTTGGTTGGTCATGTCAGGCTAATAGTATATTATTACTCGATTTAATTTTAGAACCAATTGTTAACAAGTTGGCTCATATTAATTAAACTTTCTTTTCTTCAAGTATTTGTTTACAACGTCATTACGCGTAGTTATTGATAAAAGACAATAAAAACAAACTCTTAAAGTTGTGATATACTCGGTATATTATTATACAATTTTAATACACTTCTTGCGGAATGCTTTGTATAAAATAATGTATGATACATGTCATACATCTAGGATTGATCTTTGTAATTGTCACTTTATTTTATAAGTTATAATGTTACCTTTTAAAAGATGTATGTTGTCAAACAGCATTTAGTTTGACATAATTTTTTTTTTTTTTAAAAAGCTACTTAGCACCATTTTTTTTAATTACTTATACATTATATTAATTTTTATTTATTTATTTTTTCTCTTGGGATTAATAGAGGCCAACACTTCATCAAAGGTGGGAAGGATTCATGGGTGAGAAATTAGGGCATCATGATCAACAACCACCCATCTTTAGCATATGGAAATCAACAATGATCGGACGGTCCAAATTCATGGTAGAAGTACACGATGGATCTCATGCAACGTACCAAATTGAAGGGTGTTTCAGTGAGAGAAGGTGCACCATATATTATATGTCCACTTCATCAGATCATGCCACGTGTAGAATATTAGTGGCTCAGATCGAACGAAAAGTGGAGCCCACTAGAAAAATTTTATTAGGAAGAGAAGTTTTTAGTCTTAGTATTAAGGGTGGTTTTGATGCTGCTTTTGGTATGGCCTTAGTTTTAGCACTTGATAGAATTGATGGTGATGACGTTGTTGAGGTTGCACCCATGGAATCTCATTAGTCATCACTAGGATTTTTTGTACATAGGAGGTTAGGAGGGTGATGGCGGAATGGTTGTACAAAATTAACAGTTATACATACATGAATAGTACATTTAGCGATGGAAATTTTAATTATTTTAAGCAAAAGAAAATGGTAACTTCGGTATTTTGTTGATAACTAGAGAAAAAGAGAAGAGCGTATCTGTGATAAATTATGAAAATGTCATGATATTTGCTCTATTTACCATAAAACAGTTAAATTATTTATTTTAGATTATCACAATTTGGAGTGGTACAACTGTATAGTGTGAAATATGACTCAGGGCATTTAGTGCATTTTTTCATGTAAGTTTCATGAATCTGTTTTTATTTTTCTCTTCAATGTACAAGACTCACACACGACCTCAAGTTTAGCACTAGAATTTTAATTTTTGTTCTATCCAACCAGTGCACTATTTTTGTATAGTGACCACTTTTGTAAGTACATCAATTTCGGAAATATCTACATTTTTGTATTAAATTAGTCCTTATATTAATTATATTATGGTCCCTTTTACAATTTTTTTTTAAATATAAAATAAATGTCCTCTTATATCCTTTACTTTCGAATAACTATTAAACTATTGTCTATTTTTTACAATTATTTAAAAACCTCACCTGCACTTCTTACGCCAATTAACGCGTATATTTGCCATAAATTCTCAAACTTATACCATTTCATGATATATGTTCTAAGTTTATATATGCAATCTAAGGTTGCATATATCATTAGTTCATTGTCGTTAATTTAACTTCATTTGCACTAATTCCCCATTACTTCTCTCATTTCCTACAAACAATTAAAATCACCCTTTTAAATCATGCACAAATTACTTTATCAAATAATATCCATGTGATAATTACGACTCACAATGCCTCCAATAATTACATACAAACAGAGTTGTTGCCAATATTTAGGAACGAAGAGAGTAATATTTTTAGCACGGCCAAATAATAACAACGTACTTGATTATTACTAGTACATTCCATTAAAACGACCGACTTCCTTGACTTCTTCCTATAAGACTCCAACCCCATACCACAACAACGACTTGTAGGCCTAATTAGGCCCAAAGTGATAAGATTGATTGAAGATTCATTTATAGCAAAAACCACACCATTTCAACCACCTCAACAAAGCAAATTAAAACCTCCTTTAATTCCTTAAACACTTACAACAACAATATATACTTCTATTAGTTACTATTATTGTTCATTATTTCTTTTTATTAGCACTTTTGTAGTACTTGTAATAGGAGAAAGAAATTCACAAAAAAAAAAAAAAAAAAAAAAAAAAAGAATGTGTGATAATGATGAAGTGAAGAAAGAAGTGGTGGTAGAAGAAAAATATTGTTATGAGGAAGAAGTAGAGTTAACCGTGCACAAAACTTCAATGTTTAACCAAGGAGATGGGTTCATAGTGTATGACTCCAAGGGTGATATCGTCTTTCGAGTCGACACGTACGCTCCGACTAAGAATCGCCTCCTTCTCATGGATGCCTTTGGCAAGCCCCTCCTCACTCTCCTCCCTAAGGTGATCATTTCATGCTTTTTTATATTCTTATTATTCATGGTGTTGTGGTTGTGCTATTTCATTCATTCATAATATTTTCTTGATCATGCAACATAATACCAAGTAATGGTGATTGTAGAAATAGTATTATAAAAAATGGTACATGTGTGGAGGTTATAATCTCTAATCCTCGTCTTTAATTTATATACATCCTCCGTTCTCTTTTAGTTGTAACATTTTGACTTTTGCGTACACGCCAAAGTTGCCCATGCATAGTTTTAACTAGTACGCAAAGGAAATTGCGTATATAATTGGTGAAGCTCTTCCAATTTCCTTTCTAACAAATTGTGGGCTCAACATTTATGGGCTAAACGTGGATCTTCTGGCATTGGGCCTACAAAAAATAAACAATATTACCTATTTTATAAAAGATGTCCACTTTTGAAAAAACTTTGAGAGTTAAGCCTTTTTATAACTAAACTTGTTTTACTAATATGTTCATAAACTTATACGAAGTATATTTGTGTTAATGGACATCCTTTAGAAATTGATTGATAATATTTGTGTAAATGGACATTCAATCGTTTGCTGTTGATGGTATCTTGTAACATACAGTACGGAGTATGTTACTAGGATATGATATCGTATGGTTGTTGAGTGTGAATACATAAACAAATGTCACATGTGTTTAAGTTAAGAATTTCAAACACAGACTTGATATGAATGAACACTTTTTTTATTTCATAAACATACATTTTAGGCTAAACCTATGTTAACTCTTGTTGAAACTAATCTCAATTATCGAGCACATTTAATACGGAGTAGCACATATCATGCATGCAGGGGCGTAGAAGGGGGTGTGCAAGAAGTTCTCTTGCACAGGGCCCCAATTTTTAGAGGGCCCAATTTTAATTTATTTTATTATTATTATTATTATTATTTGGTAATAAAAGCTGATATTGTTTTTAAAATTAGTAAAACTTTAAAAGCTGATATTTTTCTACAGTTTTACATTTAGGTTAAGAAATTAATTAAGTCAACATTAATGCATTATTCTCATGCCTAGTTATTTTCCAATTCCTATGCATATTTCATCTCCCTTATTCAAGTTTCCATTTCATCAACTTTCAATATTATTCCAATTAAATTTTCAAAATTACCAAATTTAAAACAAACTAGAAAAAAAAAAATTTCTATTTCTCCATTGACGTAAGATAGACATGTAAAGAAAAATAATTATTAGGAATACTACAAACCCTCATATAACAATATACTCAAATTGTTTTGTGAATTGTTTATTTAAGACTTTGAGTGATTTCGATAACTTCATAGACTTTCTTGCTTATTCATCCGTCGTTTGATTTACGGTAAGGTAATTTTCTTATTTTAACATTGTCAACTAGTTTCTTTATTATTTTTTTCTTCTAAATATACTACGACTCTATGAGTATCTATTGCAAATAATGTGTATTAATTGTCGCTTCGATTAGTAAAAAAAAAATGCATATTACCTAAATGTAAGTACCTCATTAAAAATTAAAAATTTGTATAATTTTGAAATTAAGGGCCCTTTTTTTTAGAACAGGGCCCCTAAAATCAATGAGACGGCCTTGCATGCATGCGAGTGATGCTACACATACAATGGTTGTATGTGGGCTATCACATACAATACCATTCTATGTATGCCACATCAGAAGGGAGGAAAAAAAATAAAAGAGAAAAAATAGGGGAAAAAATGGACCCTAAAATGCTAACCAATTAAATGCTGCCAACAATGGTTGTATGTGGGTGACCCACATACAACCATTGTATGTGTAGCCTTTTCCCATGCCACACAGTGACATGGTTACACACTTATTTTTGGTCCATATTTCGGAAATATAAGTTTATTATTGACTTGAAAACCTCAAAGGTGGACTCCAAAAAAAAAAAAAAAACAACTCATGGGTGGATGAAATTTGACTAGAGAGTAAAAGTGACACACAAAACCCTTTCAAGTTTACGTCTGCAATATTCTAGCTTTTTGCATATCACCAACTCTATTAATTATCATCTATAAATGATTGATTGACACACAACAGCAACTTAGGGACTGTTCTCATACGTTGAAATTCAGTCCAGTTCAGTTCAGCTCATAATTTCTTCTCTTATAAAATATTCAGTTCAGGTGAGTTCAGTCAATTGATGAGAACATACCCTTAAAATAAATTTTTTTTTTTCCCTTTTGTTGACATCCTAATTTTAACTAGTTTAGGTCACGGTCACTACTTACTAGGTACGGTGTCACTGAAATAATATAATCTTTCCTAACTTTTAGAGGATTGGAGATTGTAGTGTTACATTGTACCTACAGCGTGTGTGTGATCAATGTAGACAAAATTATACTTGTTAACATAAACAAGCTCACTTTGTTATTTTTTCGTTGAAGATCATTATTATTATTGTTATTTTTTCATCTAATCCATATATAATATTTGGCATGTAAATAGAGGCCTACACTTCATCATAGGTGGGAAGGATTCTTAGGGGAGAAATCCAACGATCAACAACAACAACTACAACCAATTTTCAACATATGGAAGTCAACCTTAATCGGACGGTCGAGCTTAAACGTGGAAATCAACGGTGGATCTAATGCAATGTACCAAATTGAGGGTTGTTTCAGTGAGAGAAATTGCACCATATATCATGTAACATCATCAGATCATGGTGATGCATTGAAAGAATCAGTGGCTACGATTAAACGAAAAGTGGAGCCCACAAGAAAAATAGTGTTAGGAAGAGATGTATTTAGTCTTGTTCTTAAGGCTGGTTATGATGCTGCTTTTGTTATGGGCTTAGTTTTGGCACTTGATAGAATTGATGGTGATGATGTTGTTGCTCCCATTGAATGTCACAAGGACATTGATGCATAGCATTGGTAAAATTGTTTGTTACGCCCTAGGGGAAATTTTATTTTTCCGTTGGGTGCACATGTGAAAATCTTATCCGTTTTATTTACTACTTTTTGATTTCAATCAATTTACTAGTGTCATCAAATAAGACCTAATTGTTCATAAAGATATTGTGTATTATCAATTGAGTTTTTTTTTTTTCCTTTGCCTGACAAAGTTAGCCAAAAAGCTATTATATCCAATTACAACCCAAAATAAAAAAAAAAAATGGTTGTTGGCCAATGTATGATAAATAAGAGTACAAATTCATTAAAAATTTCCGCCAAAAATACTGTCTTATACTAAATGGATTGCACAACACATAGTGTAATTTATTTGTTATAAAAACCTAAATTGGGATATTAGATAAGACTATAAGAGATTTAAGGCTTACAGAGTTACAGACTTACAGAGTATAGCTTAGGTTAGTATCACAATAGTCAAGGCCAGCAGAACCGAGGGGGGCTGGGTTGGGCCTTGGTCTCACCTTTGGTGTGTGTGTGTGTTTTTGGTTGGAAAGCTTCACCCTAAGTTTTGCTTATCTATTAGAGCAAGTTTAGCCCTAAGTCTTAAAACTTGAATGTGACATCATTTTTGGTGATCCCCATTGAAAATGATGTCATCAAATTCTTGTTAAGACTCACTAAGACTTACAAAAATTTATCACTTTAGCCCTAAAACTTAAATATTTGACATATTATATGTAGAAAAGTGTAAGAAAAAAAAAGGATAATAAAAATAAAAGTGAGGTGGAAGTAGTAGGTCCCAATCTCAAGTCTTAAGTTGAGTCTTGAAATTTCAAGACTCAATTTGAGACTTGCTTGAGATTTTTGAAGGAAAATGGGAAAAGTCTTTTTTTTTTTTTTTTTTTTTTTTGACAACATGGGAAAAGTCTTAAGCATAAGTCTTAATACCTAAAATGATGATGTCACCCTAAGTCTACTTGGGGCTAAACATGCTCTTAAATGTTTCATTTCATAATGTTAGTAATATTATACTTGAGTTGATTTTGGGTGAAAATTGGGTTTATTTTCAAACTCCCAAATTCCGCCACTGACAAAATTCAGATAGTGAGATCGACAAAAACAAAACATCACAAGGGTGAATGAAATAATTATGTTTAATTGTGTAAAATTAAATAATTAAAACATTTAAACACATTCAAGCATTAATAATAACATCGATCTTGTAATTTTGCCATGCATAATTAGAAAATGTACAAGTATTAAATTGTATGTTTGCTCTTAAATGTACATCGTACTATAGATCAGATTCGAGCCAAAAATTGGATTGGATTGGTGTCTTCTAGTGTGGTGAAAAAGCAATCAAATAAATGGGATGATTAATTAAGTAAAATTTAGACGTCTGACCTTACTATCACTAACCAACATGCATTAATTCCAAGAATTGAAGGCATTACACTACAAAGTATGGTGGTCCAATTCTAGGTTGTTTTTTTTTTTTGACAACAAATTCTAGGTTTTTATGGATCATCATCTTTATACTAGTATTTCATGTTATTATTTATGGTTCGTTTGAATATATAATCGTATGTTTAATGTAATTTTAATTGTGATATGAGATGGGATCGATGAAAGACTTACGTAGACCTAATCCTACATCAGCTACATGCATGGTTTCATGATCGGGAATTCAGATCAACGAAACTTTAACGATTAGAATATTGTTGACAAGAAAAAAGCTAGGAAATAAAAAATTATACATACTCCGTAGATAATTTTATGATGAGCAAGATAAGAAATTTAAAGGAAGTATTATCTAGCTAATTATTATATGTAAATGTCTATATATTTAAGGTTTGACTTTAAACCATAAAATTATACTCCATATTTCATATTAGGCCCCGTTCACTTCACCTTATTTTTGGTGAACTGGAATTATTTTTACTGAACTGAAATTATTTTTGTTGAACTTAAATTTACTGAACTGAAATTTTTTTTTATTGATTTTATGTTATATTTCCTCTTTGAACTTACTGCTTTTTACTGAACATAAATTATTTTTTCTAAACTGAACTGAACTTATTTTTGCTAGATTGAAATTATTTTTAATGAATATTATTTTTTAAGATGAAGTGAACAGGGTATTCCTTATAATTTTATTGATTATACAAAAGAATTAAAAAAAAATCACTATTTTCTTAAGATGATTGATTTGTGCCACGCCCTTATTATACTGTGTTTTTTTATAAGACATTCTTAAATTATTGACAATGAAGCCAACAACATGTTAAATCAAAAAAATTTGCTCTGTAGGTTAAAATTAGTACAAATGTAGTATGTCTGTATGTAATATATTATACCAACCCGGCCAAATGAAGGCAAAATTTGTTCATTAAATCTACAGACAATGCATTTATAATGAAGACATATATGTTTCATGCACTCTTGATGTATACCATCTATTTACCTATATTTTACTTTATTAGTTAGTTTAGTCGGTTAAAATCTTGAACAATTATACCTAAAAATTGTGATTAAGTCGTGTCATCTCCATCATTGCCTTTTGCACTTACCATACACTCATTTGAGTAAAATCTACTACTAATGAAGTCTTCGCCTACTATTATACTGTATATATTAATTAATTATGCTACGTATATATCCCCTTTAAACTTTGAATGTCATTATTATAAATTCTACGATGAATCCTGGTAAGGCACAATGAAACCTAGGTGTACGTCCTTTTGAGTTTCGACCCTATGAAAAATATGGTTGTAGTCTTGTTGATGGATCGGAGTATATTTGCTTCAAATTTTGAAATCTAAGATGAATCCCTAGACACAACCTAAGTGTCCTTTCATATGTGACCCCCAACAATGCAACAACCACAACCTTATGGCTCCACTTATGTGACATGCCCAAAAATCCCAACATCAAGTGGGAACGAATAGATTAATAGGGTGTTGTTTTTGCACAAACACTAATAAAAGCAAGCACTTCAAAAAGTCACATAAGTGGAAATTATTGATTATATGATTATTATCCTCCATCAAAAATATTATAGATCAACCAAAAAAAAAATCAATCAATCAAGTAGGAGTTAGCTAATTAATTGTGGCTTCAATTAAAAAAAAAAAAAAGCTAATTAATTGTCTAAGTTAAAAGTGGAGACATGGCAGCATAGGGATAGATCAAACAAACATAATTAAATTAATTACTATCAACCAACAAACAAGGTTATTTATTTATTTTTAAACAATAAATTATACCTAACCATGTACAATTGAGTTATGATCTCTTGTATGATTTTCTTTTTTGTGAAAATGACCTCTTCTTTATCACAGTACAAAATTGTCCCCAATAGCTAGCTATATATGTACATGTAAATTTGGGTTGTCACATGATTTAAGTTACAAACTCTACAACGACAAGCTACTTTCTTTTGTAATAAAAAAACCATAAAAGAAAAAACAATAAATACAAAAAAAAAAAAAAAAAAAAAAAAAGAAGTATTAAACAAATTAATACTATGGTATATGTGCAAATGAGTGCAATGCAACTCCGTATAATGCTAATATAGTTAAGAAAATGTACATAAAACTTAATAAATTCTTGGAAAAATTACTTCTAATAAACCAACCTTTACTCCATTCTCCCAAAATAAACCAACCTTTAGATTATTCCAGAATAATCCAACCTTTTACCCCTATCTTCCCATATCACACCCAAATGACCTGCTACCTAAGCAACAAGTCAATTTTTTTTTATTCCCTGGTGGGGGTGACGGAAATGGAGGTGGATGGGGATTTGGGGCCAAATTCATGGTGGTTGTTGTGTATTGTTGGTGGGTAAGTGGCAGGGGAGGTAAGGTGGTAGTGAAGGAGGAAGGGTGAAGGAGGTGGTCATGGAGATTGGAGAAAGAGAGAGGAGAGAGAAAGAAGTGGGGTGATTTTTTTTTTAAGAAAAATTGTAAATTAAAAAATAAACCAATAAGAAAATGACACGTAGGCAAGGTAACCGGTTATACCGACTTGGTGACCTGTTGGGTTTGATATGGGAAGATGGGGGTAAAAGGTTGGATTAATCTGAAATAATCCAAAGGTTGGTTTATTTTGGAAGAATGGAGCAAAGGTTGGTTTATTAAAAGTAATTTTTCCTAAATTCTTAAGCTTATTCCAATTTTATCAACTTGCATGTATAATGAAAACTAAACTTGCTCTTGATGGCCAAAAGCATGAATTGATTTTAGAAAAGAAAAAAATCAAAGAGTTTAATTTATCCATCGATTTATTTGTCTGAACATGTCAGAATGTCTGATTCAAAATTATCTCAACCTAGGTGTTATTTTGATGAAATTATTTAGACTATTTTTTTTTTAATTGAATTTACCAGAAAACTGTACATAAGACATACTTCGTACAAGTTATCAAAATGAACTTGTCATGTAACTTCATATATAAAAGCAAAATATCTTTGTATGAGTTTTTAGTAATTGTAATACAAGTCATTTTCAAGTTTGTGGGGGCATCGTTTCGACTATACATTTTAGTTATACACGGATAAAATACTACGTCGTGCTTTTTGTGTGGAAGAGGAGGGGGTGTTCAACTATCATTATAACTTGTTATGATATATGATCTCTTCCCCTTAAATTCAAAACTCTTCTTGTCTGTCTTTGTACAATTAAGTCCATTCAACCTTTTCAATTATTTAGCATATCTATATTAGTGATAAGAGATAATCCTTCAGGGTTTTTCAAAGTCAAGATCATGATAAAAGTTTGCTCCTCTATTAAGTACAATCTTAATGATAAAGTTTGTAGTTTAGTCAGCAACAAATTGTTCTATAACATTAGGTTTGCTTCTCTAATTAGTAATTGCTTTTGCTGAAGATTATGATAGAATTTGTTGTATATATACGGGTGTACCGTACATCCAACTTATCTAAGTTAGTTTAGTTTTTGTTCTTCATTTGATGATAAAATGAAAGACAATCATCAAAATAAGAACAAATACTCATAGATGTACGGTATACCCGGGTGTATATAACAACTTCCCAGATTTTGATGGTGTTACAAATTTACAATGACACTATAAGAACTTGCATATGACATTTTAAAAAAGAAAATCCAAAATTGCCAATTATGTTGGTGTTGTATAGTTCTAGTATAGTTGATATTTTTCCATTGAAAAGGTAGTTGAGTAGTTGGTTCGTGGAGGCGGATGCACGATCCACATGGTGCATCCGCTCCAAAATACAAAAAGGCGGAATAAACATTCAGATATATACTAATGAACATGGTCATATAAAAGAACATAGTAGCCATTTATAATGTACATGAACATATACATAAAAGAACATAGTGTTCATTTATAATGTACATCAGTTTTTTATGCAACAATTTTGTATATATATTTTTTTAAAAAGACATTTTGTATAATGAAATTGATAAATAGTACTATAATTATTTTTTTTTTACCATACATTAATTACATATCATTTCAATTTTTTTTTACCAAAAGTTCACTTTCTCTATCCAAACAAAACTTCAAACCCATTTAAATTCCTCAAACCTCAAACAAAATTTCAAGAAATTCGAAATTTTGAGCTCAAAATTGTTCAAGATGACAAATAAAAACGAAAGGTAAGACCAAATTCGACATTTATACTTGTTTATTTGAGATTCATACTTGTTTATTTTGAGTTTGAGTGTTTATTTTTTATAAATTTGATTGAAATAAAAATTGTAATATTTGATTTTATTGAAAATTAATTGCGATTTTGATATAATTTTGTTGTTGCAATGAGAAATAAAATGAAATTCTTGAAGAAGATCAACCGATTAATATATTTTGGAAGAAGAAAACAAGCAAATAGACAAATTTAGAAAAAGTTGTAGATCCAAATAATACAATGTACATTAAAATATAGTAAAATGTTCTTTTTTCATATACTTATATGATGCAAATAATACAATGTACATAAAACATGTAACCAACATTATAACATATATATGTTCATTAGAATATAATACAATGTACATTATAATATAGTAAAATGTACATTTTCATATACATACATGATCATTTATACCAAATGTACATTTATTATATGAATAATGTTCTTTAATATTATCATGTTCTTTATTAATATTACAAATGTTCTTTAGATTTACAAAAAAACATATAAAACTGGATGTTCTTTATAAAATAGCTATATGTTCTTTACAAAACAACTATATGTTCTTTACTGAATAGCTAAATGTTCATTCCGCCTATTTTTAAAGAACACTGGATGCACCAAGCATGGTGCATCCGCCTTCACAGAAAAAATTTCATTTGTTGACCTACTATTCTTCACAAACTATTTCTCAATCCAAGTTTTTTGAATGGATAGTTGAAATTATTTTGAAAAATAACATGTAAGTTAAGATTTTTTATTTTTTTATTTTTTAATCAGCGTAAGGCGTAACAACCATAATATATGATCATTTGTTGATTAGTTGTACTTGATCACTTCTCTTTTAGCTAAAGATGCATAATTTAACATTCTACATACACATAGCGATAGTTGAGAATAAACTCCATAACAAAGACATATAATAGCGGAACAACTATATTATATGATCACTTCGCTCTCAAGCCCTTGTCTGTTATAACCAAAGCCAAAGAGGATTGAAAGCAACAAGAGATCAAACATACAACCGATTATTTTAAAAATTAAAAAAAAATACTCTGTAGTTGGGATTATTTTGACTTAACCTATAGAGTATCGAAAATTCAGAGAGCATACGATCCAAGTTTACCCCATAGAGGCTCTTGTCTGCTAGGCAAAAAAGCACGAAAGCAACAGGAGATTGAAGTGGAGAGGAGGAGAGAGAGAGAAGGAGAAGGTGCGCCAAAAGGGGAACCCCCAACCCCATGTACAGAATAACTTCCTTATCAGTCTTCTCTTTTCTCTATTTCTTTCTCTCTCTTCTCACTCTTTTCACCCCAACAAAGAAATTCAATTCAATTGAGACTCAACAAGATGCCTAGACCAGGCCCAAGACCATATGAGTGTGTTCGAAGAGCTTGGCATAGTGATAGACATCAACCCATCAGAGGTTCAATCATTCAACAGATTTTCAGGTTTCTGGGTTTTTCTTATTTTTTGTTTTCCATTGATAATTCAGCTCAATTTCTGTGAATTTTGGTTCGTTTTTTGTAATGCCCACCATGTGTTTGTTCAGAGTTGTCACTGAAGCTCATAGCTCTGTTACTAGAAAGAATAGAGAATGGCAAGAGAAGTTGCCTCGTGTTGTGCTGAAAGCTGAAGAAATCATGTATTCTAAAGCTAATTCTGAGGTATTTTTGTGTTTTTAATTTCTGGGTTTTTGTGGGTTTTGAGCATTTGTTTGGTTTTTTGAGCTTATTGGGTGTACATTGTTTGATTGATTAGGCTGAGTATGTGGATCCTGAAACACTTTGGGAGCGCCTTAATGAAGCTATTGATACTATAATTAGAAGAGATGAAAGTACTGAAACTGGTCAATTTCTTCAGCCATGTATTGAAGGTATCAATTTTTTCTGAGTTTTTGGTAATAATTTGTTGTAGTTGGATCTCAATTTCTTGAAAAAGTTGTTTCTTTGAGGTATTTTGGAGATTGTTAGGTTGTGCATTGTAATGGGTATTGAAAATTTTGATGATTTTGTAGTGATTTTTGTTGTCAAATTCATTTAATTTTTAGCATCATGCAAAAGCTTAGGGTTAGGTTTTAGCTGAAGGGTTTATTTCTCTCTCATTTTTGGCAGTATGTTATCATAGGCTTGTCAGAGTGCCCAATTCATTATGTGATGAGGTGTGTATGGATCAGTAAGCAAAGATTAATCCTTCCCCATGTAATTCTGTTGTTCAGCTGCCCTTGTTCTGGGATGTCATCCTGTTAGAGCATCACGTAGCCAGCGGAACAGTAATCCAAGGAGTTATCTCAACCCAAGATTCCAAGAACCTGCTCAGGCAGCTCCAGCTGTTCCCGATGAAACTAGTTACCCCAGACCACCCCCTCAGCCACCAAACCTCGTGGGAAGTCCGTTGAGTATTTCAAGGTCAACAATGGGAAACCAGGCTAGTACATCTTCGCTTTCTAGCAGCCAAATGGCGCCCAATACTAGCTACATTGCTACTCACCCTAATCCCTATCCTCAATTCAGCTTCCCAAGACCTATGCCCTCCGTGACTATTGAACCGAACTCCTTGTTGAATTTTGGTTCTATTTATCCATTGTACTATGGTAGTAATTTTCAAAATGTTGACCCCCAGACTGGGTTCCGGTCACCTCAAAGTTCAAATTCTAGGAATGTAATTGTTGGCACACCAGTGGGTTGGCATGGAACACAGCCTCCTTGTTTTACCAGCACGAGGAATCTATTACCTGGTGGGAGTGTAGAAACTGCAGCAGATAAACATGGGCAAGAAAATTCAGTTGACTACCGTGGAAAGGCAGCTGAAATGGACTGTGATTTGTCTTTACGATTGGGTCCTTCCTGCCCTGGTCCAAGTGTGGAAAAAGGTCTTGGTCATCTGACCAGCGATGGTGGTTCAAGTAGTCATCGAGAGATCAGCATGTATTCAGAGCCATGTTCTAAGAATCTCGAGTTTTGTTTCTTCCCCAGGCAAAGTGGGAATGATCTCTCTGAATCACGTGACAACAGACCGGAACAGGAGGGTCAGGTTCTTGAAAGAAATGCAATTCTAAGAAAGCGTAAAGCCCCAGATCATATTGAGTTAGATGATGAGCGTGCTCAATGGCTTCCGGAGTTCCAACCTAACCAGTTTCATGGTCAATATAGATGGCCAGGTTTGTAACACATTTTTTGAATGAGTGAAATGCAATGAAATATTGTGGATGCAATGTCTAATTTTGTCTTGGCCCTGATGCTAACTTTTCCATAGTACTGTTAGGTTGCTAATAGCAATGTTGCAAGTTAGCTAATAAGTTTTAAAAGAACACTTTTATGTGAGTAACGTAATTGTGACTCAATATTGCAAGATAGGGCTGCTATTCCAACTAAGACTGTTAGATAAAAATGCCATAACTTAGATCCTATCTTTATGAAGATTGGCTAAAATGATAAGAGGGCCATATATTGACAAATGAAGATCTCTGGTTGGGAGGTGCATGAATTGCCATACCATGACAGCTTCCCACCCAATGATACTGTGTTGAAATTTCAAAGTTTTTGATTGAAAGTCTATGTGAAGGGATCATTTATGTTGCAAATATCGAACAATATTGGCGGTACTAGTGGAGATTCATCGTCACCAGATGACAGCTAATGATTTGTTTTTCAGATGGCCCAAAATTGTATATTTTATTGAGTGTAAATATCTACCTTTGGCCACCCAAAAGGAAACTCCTTCAAGTTAGATGGTATTATGCAAAGTAATAGCTTGAAGCCATTTAATAATAGGATAAAGTTATTTAAAAGAAGTTGAGGAGCTCTTGATGTCAGGCTAGGCTAGAAATTCTAGTGGTAAGATTGCATATCTCTCAATTGTGTTTTTATGAGGCATTCTAAAGGTTTGTTGTCAAATTGTGGTAGGAGGTAGCATGAAAAATGTCAGTCCAAAGAACAAGAAATAGCAAAAAGTCATTTAAAATGATAATGTGCTATGAGTGAAGACTTTGAAACCTGTACAGGGGGGAGATCTCTTTAGGAGGAGTCATTTACAAATTTTAGAACTTCTCCACTGTTAGTGGACTCTTCATTTTGCACGGGTAAAGTTTAGAATGTGGTGAAGAACCCACTGCTCTTGCACGTTTTTGCAGAAAACAATTCACAAATGAAACTAGAGCTCCCTTGCACTAAGGAGAAATGCAACAAGGTCAATATTCTTCAATTTCTATTTCAGTTAATCATTTTTGGTGCTTTTTTGATAATGCTATCCTCAGAATTGTACTTTTGTTGTCTCTATTGCAGGTGATTGATACTGTTTTTGTAGGATGTGAGGAAATTGTTGTTAGCGAAAGCTATATTCCCGGACAAGCAGTTGTGCTATATTAAAAGAAGCAACAGTAAAGCTTGCATTCAGTGAATCATTGGTACTTAACTGGTTATTTGCTCTGCTCATTCTAAGATCATACACTCCCAGCCCCTAATCACAGAAAGAGGGTGTGAGAGGGAGGGCTGTATGGAGATAAAATTGTAAGTTTACTATCTGCACCTGGGCGTTGTGGTAATCATGTATGTTGCTTAAGGAGTTTGAAATTTTGTACAATCGGCCTGTCCAGTATTTGACAGTACAAGGTTTTGTTGGCTGCGTATCTAATTGTTGAACGGGCAGAGAGTTTAACAGAAGAAGAAAGAAGATGATTCCATTTTCTGGTCCAAGATCATAAGCTATGGTTCATGCTTGCCAAAGTATGCAGGGCAGGCAGCAAAATTTTGTTTAGTTGTTGAGACTAGTTCTTAGAGCATTATGCCAGACTACATTGTTGCATTAACAGATGAGAATTGACAACATACTTGTGTCCTTGTATGTGGGAAAAATGCTGAAGAATAGACTGAATAAGCGGCTGTCATCGGTAAAGCTAAAGGATTGTCTTTGCCTGGCAAACATTGCTTTCAATTACAGCAGAAACTGATACTTGCCAAACAACGATCCCCATTCGGCACAGTTATGTCAAATTTCGGATTCAATGACTCGCTTTATATTTTGTAAGTCTCCACACGTTGTAGTATGCCTAAATTTCTTACAGGTTCGGCCATTAGCTGCATGGCTTTGGCTGCATCTACTGATGTAGAGGTGGACTATCTTTTAGAACAAAGGAGATAAGCATTCTGTTGCATTGCTGCAGTATAATGTTTGTTGATAACATTCAATCATGTTATTTCAACATGAATATCATTTAACCCTATATATATCTCTGACATATAGAGGACTTATAGGTCATTATAGCTGTTGAATTTTGAGTCTAATTGTAGTAGAATTTCCTGTGTAGTGGCCCAAATATACTGTAATGGTCACAATATGCTTCCAAAACATATGTTATCCAGGTATATATGTTAGCATGTTTTCTTGTTGCTTTAACGTCATCTTTTGTACCATTGAGCTTTTCTGCCGGTTGCTCTATGGCTGCTTGTATTATTGTTGTGATGAACTTTCTTTGCATATCATGACTCTTACGACTGGATGATTCAGCGACATTGATTCTGTAATGTCGATTTGAGGATCTTACCGGCCACCATCATAGGAAAAACCGAATAGATTAGAGAAAATCATTTCAATTGTTACCCAACTGTATTTTATGTATAATTGAAACTTAATAGGATTGTTTTGCTCAAGTACAATTAAGTAGCTATTTACATCTTTGTCAACCAGCTAATTTGATGAGAACGTCTCACATTAATTTATTAATTTATTCCTCGACGTAAAAAATACCCCTAAAAGGATGTACAAGATCTTATCCTTGTTTGAAGACTGATGCATGATTAAGGGATGTAGTGAGACAAGGTGAAGTGACAACTCGGTTATTTATAACATGGAGTTGAGAATTTTGTGGGGCATAAGAAAATGGCAAATTAGGCATGACAGTGACCTTAAAAATATGGTACCAATAATTAAAAACGGCATTTATTCCCATTGAATTGGGCCGAGCTAGTGTCTTTTGAAGCCCAATAAAAATTAATGACATGGGCCTAGTGAAACGTCAATTGCCTCTTAGGTCTTAGCAGATCCAAAATATTTGATTGGCATTATGGCATTGGACACTTAGGAAAAATTATACCAAGCTTCTATTTATCTTTAGACTTAGCAAAACCAACTCATACTTAATTGAGCGATTCCCACAAATCTAATATATATAAATAAAGTAGGCATTTTTGGAGAGCATTGGGAGCGCCACATAAGAAAAGGTATATTTTCGACCAATTAAAAATTAGATTTCTATTTTATTTAAGAATTAAAAAAATCACTCGCCACCTAAACAAAAGTGACGAATGAAATTTTAAATTTTTGCCACGTAGGTAAAAACGACGAATAGTAATTTATTAGGATTTTAATTATTTAAGAACACTAAATTTTTTCATTTTTATTTGTTACAAAACTAACAATTATCTTTATATATAAGGATTTATATTATTTAAAAAACTAAAAATTATATTTTGATATTTAAAAAATATAAATTATCATTTGATGTTAATTGGTTAAAAGACATAATATTTTCATACAAAATTTTAAAATTATAATGCAAGAAAAAAAATTAAGAGATCACCAAAAAAATATTTATATAAAAAAAGGAATATAAAAATTCGTGCATCGCACGCCACATAAGCAAAAAAAATATTTCAACCAATGAAAAATTAGAATTATATATTAATTTAGAATTTAAATTTTCATCGCTATTTAAGAAAAAATTAACAAATGAAATTTGAGAATTGAAAACAAAAAAAAATTAGTAATTTAAGCTTTAAATTATGAAAAAAAATTATGAAAAAAAAAACAAAAATTATCTTTTACATTAGGATTTATATTATTTTAACAAATAACTAGAAATTAAAAAATATATTTTGATTTAATGATTTTATCTAACTATCCGATGAATGAGATAATAATTATTTCAATTTATAAATTCAAGTTCTATATACGTAAAATTTGAATAAGAATAATTTAAAACTTAACAAAATTTTTTACCATAAAAACAAAAAATATTAAGAATTACAAAAAAATATTATATACAAAAGGAAATATTTAAAAATCGTGCATCGCATGGGCATTTTTGGAGAGCATTGGGAGCGCCACATATGAAAGGTATATTTTCGACCAATTAAAAATTAGATTTCTATTTTATTTTAGAATTAAAAAATCACTCGCCACTTAAACAAAAGTGACGAATGAAATTTTAAATTTTTGCCACGTAGGTAAAAACGACGAATAGTAATTTATTAGGATTTTAATATTTAAGAACACTAAATTTTATCATTTTTATTTGTTACAAAACTAAAAATTATCTTTAGATATTAGGATTTATATTGTTTAAAAAACTAAAAATTATATTTTGATATTTAAAAAATATAAATTATCATTTGATGTTAATGGTTTTATGTAAATATCTAATGATATGATATTTTCATACAAAATTTTAAAACTTATAATGCAAGAAAAAAAATTAAGAGATCACCAAAAAAATTATTTATATACAAAGGTATATTTTCGACCAATTAAAAATTAGATTTCTACTTTATTTTAGAATTAAAAAAATCACTCGCCACTTAAACAAAATGACGAATGAAATTTTAAATTTTTTCCACGTAGGTAAAAACGACGAATAGTAATTTATTAGGATTTTAATTATTTAAGAACACTAAATTTTATCATTTTTATTTGTTACAAAACTAAAAATTATCTTTAGATATTAGGATTTATATTATTTAAAAAACTAAAATTTATATTTTGATATTTAAAAAATATAAATTATCATTTGATGTTAATGGTTCTATGTAAATATCTAATGATATGATATTTTCATACAAAATTTTAAAACTTATAATGCAAGAAAAAAATTAAGAGATCACCAAAAAAATTATTTATATACAGAATGTATATAAAAATTCGTGCATCGCACGCCACATAAGCAAAAGTAATATTTCGACCAATGAAAAATTAGATTTATATATTAATTTAGAATTTAAATTTTCAGTTGCCATTTAAGAAAAAATTAACAAATGAAATTTGAAAATTGAAAAAAAACAAAAATTATCTTTTATATTATCTTTTACATTAGGATTTATATTATTTTAATAAATAATTAGTAATTAAAAAATATATTTTGATTTAATGATTTTATCTAACTATCCGATGAATGAGATAATATTTATTTCAATTTATAAATTCAAGTTCTATATAAGTAAAATTTGAATAAGAATAATTTAAAACTTAACAAAATATTTTACCTTAAATTAATGTTAAAATAATAGAATAAAAAATAAAAACAAAAAATATTAAGAAATTACAAAAAAAATATACAAAATAAAATATTTAAAAACCGTGCATCGCACGGGCTTATATCTAGTAATGATATATTGTAAACTAATTACGTATATACGTTGGTTAAAAAAATAGCTCCCCACCGTACCATCCACATAGGCTCGGTTATTAGCTTTATTTTATTTTATTTTATTTAAATCCTAGCTAATATTAAACCGCTAATATTGAAATTGGTTGACACAATTTGCCTTAATTTGACCTAAACCAACCCGACCCAAATTAATGTTCCTTTTTTTTTAATTATTAAAATAAACGTTTTAGCAATAGAATTGAAATGACTATCTTGAATTCAAAATCAACCCGAACGAGTCTTAGTATCCTCGAATTGACTCAATTTGAGCGATTCGATTGTCATCTCTATATATCTATTATTTCAGTAAACGTAACACCTTTAAGGACATGTTTAGTTCACAAACTGAGAAGCGTTTAGAATCAAGGATGAAAGTAGGGTAAGATGTGATAAGAACTTGATTATTGAAGCGCACAATAATATGTGTTTAGTTCTTTCAGGATTAGACTTTTCACTTATAAACTTGAAGGTTCTGCATGAGACAAACTTGTCCGTAATTTCTTAAACCATAACATACGTTAAAGTTTGATGTGTGAATTTACAATTATGAAACTTCAAAAATTCATCACTTTTTAATAGAAGCTTACCTGAAAGTGCACAAAGGACCCCACCAAGTCAATAATTATGATACTTAATATGTTTAATTACTATCATTATATATTATAAACTAATAAAAGGAAGACAAGACCATTCCATTAGTTGACAAAATACCCTAGAATAACAAAGAAAAAGGGGTAAGCAAAGAAAATGGGAAGAAGCTAAGAAAACATGTTATTAGAAAAAGGCATGACAAGTCTCACATGGGTGAGTAGGTGTAACTTGAGCCGTGTGACATTTTCTACAAATATAAAAGAAAATTCAAAATATGTAAATAATGTACAGTTTTTCATGGTAAACGCATTACAGTTGTACTTGTATTCTAAAATATATATGAAGCTCTATACTATGTGACAATTTTTGTGGGTCTAAGATGGATTTCTACAATTATACCATGTGAAATGATCCTTTTCAATGAACATACATGTTTACTTATTAAGGTTCCATCATTAATATTTTACTCGATATTAAAACAAAAAGTAAAAGTTTCTAGTTCTTCCATCGTCCCTATTTCATCTTGTAACATTTGATTACGAGTTATTCTATATAAATCGCGTTTAGATTTATGTATGCTATAGCGCTTGATTATGAGTCATTTTATAAACTGTGCTAAGATTAGTATGAAAAATGATGTTATAATTAAAACTTTGGAATAGAGAACGAGCGATTAAAGTTAAGGTAGGGTATTGTTTAACTTTATGAAACTTGAGTTTGAACTTGAATGATCATGGATTAGGTCACTTCCAGCATTTGAGTTGGAGTGGAACCGATCATAATTAGTGGGCTAGTTCCTAGTGGCTAGTAATTTTATTTAAGAAAAAGAGTTGTTGCATTCTTTTTCATTTTATATAAATAATTAGTTGTCAATTTCAATTCGTATGTTGTGTAACATATCATATTATACAAATATATTCCTATGTATGGATAGTGGTGACTGGTGAGTGGTCCTAATGGATTGTTGGAGTTCTAATTATATTAAGGGTTTGTTCTATTCGGTTTAATTTGAATTCAGTTCATTTTAGTTCACTTCAATTCAGTTCATTTTAGTTCACTTCAATTCAATCCAATTCAACTCCTAATTTCCTTCTCGCATAAACAATTCATTTAAGCTCTACTCAGTTCAATTCAATTCAGTTATGCTCCAATCAGTTCAGTTCAACTAAATTTAGAAAATCAGAACACACCCTATGATGTATATTAATATTGTGAAATTAATATCATAAATTGAAAATAAATGAACAAAAAAGTAAAATACACAATTGCTTTGATCAAGTTTCAACTCATTTCGATTCAAAAATAAAAAATAAAAGTAAAAAAAAAAATTCAACTCATTTGTTTTGTTTTATTTTAATCAAAAGCTAATACGAGGGACTTCAGG